TTCAAGACAAGCATGGGAAAGTTAGACTTTTTCGCAGTTTGGCAAAACTTTATATTATTTTCACCCATATAGGGAGGATTTTTCGTTGAGCAAATTGTGAGAATTTTAATTTTAAGAATTTTAATTCTTGGCATTGAAACGGTGATAATTTGAATTCTCGACATTGAAACAGTGAGAATTTGAATTCTCGACATTGAAACAGTGAGAATTTGAATTCTCGACATTGAAACAGTGAGAATTTGAATTCTCATCTTTGAAACAGTGAGAATTTGAAATTCTCGACATTGAACAGTGAGAATTTGAAATCTTGTCAAACTGCGTAAAACGGTTTGTTTCTTGCACTAGTTTTGCACTTGTTAACAATGGTGCAATTCACAGGCCCATTCGACTAAACTACCAAATTAGTATATTTTGTACCTCCAGAAATGGCTTGTCATTGCCATCCAAGTACTATACTGAAAAACCTGTAAGTCTGTGAATCTACAAATAAATTAATTGTTCCCCCCCCCCCTCCCAGTTATACTCAAGCATCAAGTTAGGTTATGAACACATTTCTACATGTATGTGTTCCGATCATTATGAAAATTAATTTTCTATTGTCAATATTTGTGACTGAACACCTGTATGCCTCAAGTCAGCTGGTGTACAACTCAAGCACTTACCGGGATGAAATGAATTTTCTATTTTGCATCATTTCAAGGATTTTCACAAGAACTGTGCACATTATCTATGCAATTGTAGCTTTGGGTAACATATATAACTACTACTTTTAATACTTCAGTACATATTCAACTTTTTATATTCTAATTTCTACAAAAACACATTTAAAAAGAATTATTACCATTATATCCAAATAAAGAATTGTAAGACTAATTAAGGGGAAACACTTCAGGGAGTACTGCTTTATATTCCAATACAGGTTTCAAAATTTCCTGTTTACATACTACAGTAATGTGACATCGATTATCTCGATACTTGGAGTGAAACCAAACAAATGATAAGTGGTGTGGTGAAAGAAATGAGTGATTAGTTTTTATAGTGCTTCAGAACCACTTCAGTTTACATGTACTGGTGTATGCTATTTTGATTACCTACCTGTATTTGCTCTATTAAAAGCGCAAAACAAGTACAACAACAAATTGTATTGGTTTATCTGGTGAATCGCTTTATACATGTACATGTGTATACATAATATCGCTATATAAACTTTTAAATTAAGGTTTTTGTGACACTTACTAACTTTGGAAGTAATTATATCAGCAAAGTTTTACTCATTTTATAACAATTCCAGTAGCAGTACATCTGGGAAATTAATCCCTGTGCTGCAAAGTTGACGTTGGGAGAATTTGAAATTACAAAATCCATATGTGACTGAACACCAAATTTCACCAAAACGCATATTGGTGAATGTCTGAATACAGGTATATAGCTAAAACATTAATATCCACTGCCTAGCTTTGTACACACTTCTAATAAAATACTAGTAGGCTCTTTGTTCCTGCTAGCAACATGTATTATTCTAACTATACCTTGTTTTTTTCATATCCAAGGGTTAAACCAAACCAAATAAATAATTATTTTGTTTTGGCAGGATTTAAAGTGGGAGGGTCGTCACCTACCCATGTGGGAATTGAGTCCCAAGCGACGATAACAACACACACTAAAACACAAAGGCTCATGGGCAGATGCTTGTTTGTAAACAATGACACACTATGGCCAATTGACGCATACGCAGGTGACGACTACCCAGCTTTAAGTAAACCAAACTCATACTCCTCCAGTAGTTATTCTACTTTGCAAACATTAGGTCATTTATGTAAACACATAATGCTTTTAAATGAGCAAATGTATAATTCTCATAACTCATGTGACTTCAAGAACAATATTTCCCTCCATGCAATGGCCCTCAACAACTTAGGGGTAGGTCTACGTGTTGTACTCCAAGTATAAATCAGACACTTCTTTACATTGAAATAAAGCCTGACGGAATCAAAAGAAATAAATCAACATTGTATATTTTCTAGTACATATAACTGTTTGTTTTTTAGTATATTAAATATGTGTACTCCGTTAAACACATCCATAATATCAGATTAAATTTAAAAAAAATACATATTAATTAGTAATACGGTTCAATTTTCATAATTAGGAGAAGGGTCGCAGCATATCATTATTAATGTCAATGCTTCCTGTCGCTGCCTGACTCAATTTAACCTGTTTTACTGCAAAGTAAGCCAACATCAAATCTAATCATCCATTTAAGGTAAAAGTAAGTCAAGGCTGTTTTGCTTTTGCTGATATTCTATGTGTACATGTATCTGCTCAATTGTGGAATAGTCCACATTGAGTGTTATTGAATATATAAAGCAGTGATGGATGTGAAATGTATTGATTCTCTCTTCTCAGTTGAGTAGTTTGTTGTTTGTGCACAGAATTGCATAATGGCTTTTTTTTTTCCATCACTGACCAATCTACCAGCTGCATTCTGATCTCCTACAAAAATGGATTCTCCGGGATTTTTTTAAACAAGGGAACAGGGGCGCAGTGCTCTCATGCCATGGCCATGCGCCCCTTTACCCTGGGAAGCAGATCCCTCTGGCTACCATAAAATTCTGATTGACCAGGGATCACATGTGGTCACAGTCTTCAACTGTGACCTGTCTGATACTTTATGCTCCAGTTTAACTTATAATTATAAAAAAATTCACACCCTGGTAGGGAGAACCTTATTTTCTCTACTTAATTGGTGGTGCCGCTGAACTGCAGTGCTTCCTCTTGCAGTTTTTTTCTTATTTTTATCCTGCGGTGTACATGTGATTTTTGTATCAGATTAGAATTTTATTTTGAAATGATATATATTTTGTTGATTAAAGAATTAAGTGTCGATTCAGTTTTAATTCAGTTTTAATGCAGTTTATAAGCATGAATATTTCTTATATATTTTAATAATTATTTAAAAAGTGAAATATTGTCAACTGTATCTCAAATCAACAATTCTGTTCAGTCCCACTGTATACAATATACCGGTACACTTATTTTTGTACTTTTTTACTTTCAGGCGACCATTTGCAATATCAACCGTTACAAAGATCATATAAATCTAAAGTGCTTGCACACTTCCCAGAAAGCAATGAGTGGTCACCGTTTAACAAAGATGCGGTTGGCATGGTAAGTAAACAGTGTAAGTGATTGGTTGTGATTGGCTATTTGCAGTCACATGATCATTCTACCTTTTTCTCAAAACATGATTGTTTGTTAACAATCCACATGACATTTCTGTTCATGGGTATGGTATACTCTGATTGGCTGTTTGTAGTCACATGATCATGCTACAATTTCCTCAATGCATTAAGATTGGCTTTAACAATTACATGGTTTTAGTTTCACATGACATTTTTAGCTATATTTTGGTGAATATTTTTTTCATTTTTGGTAAAAAGTGATATTTTTGAATTCTTGTTAAAACCGCAAGTCCAATTGCTTTGATATTACATATATATGTACTACATGTGGACCTCTTTCAGATTTGTGGTAATATCTTCAATTATCTAATTTTAATGATTATTTTTGGTGAAAAGTGATATTTTTGAATTCTTGTTGAAAACAGTAAGTCCTGTTGCTTTGATACTATACATATTGTTCATTTTTTAATGATATCTTCAGTTTTTTAATTGAAATGTGCATTGCTCACAGCGAAGCCATCTCAGCCGAGAGGCTGCTTGTTTGTATCTCAGGCTGTAGTCTGTAGCAACATGTAGTGTTTGTTATTGTGGTGACTAAAATAGACGTCTAAAAGTTTATCTATGATGCCTCTGCATTAAATTTAAAGTCTTGCATAATACTGAAAAAGTTGTAATGAATTGGTGTCAATGCGGACATGTAGGTAACCAGTTTTCTGGTTACTATGTGAACGAGTTCTATTGTACTAACCACAGTTACTGAGGTAGTGCCAACATGAAACCTTCATGCATGTTATAAATGTGGTATTACATTTGTTTGCATTTTTACAAGCATTCTCAGTTTGTTTTAGATTGCCAGTGTCTGATTGGTTGCTTGCAGACATGTGATGCATTTTAATCATCTATGATAGGTTAGGTAGAATCACATGACCTAGTATAATATTGATTGGTTTTGTATGGATCACATGCAAAATTTTCATTTTAGTGTCCCTGTTTGTTTCTTTTGTGATTCACTAAAAATTCTAGCATGCAGAAAACACCTAAAATTTATGAAAACTAAACGAGTCCTTGGCATTTAGTGTGATTTACATGTAATTTTGTTGAATCACTTGGAATTATTTTCAATTGACAAGGTAATACTGTTGATTTCATCATCAAGTAATCCAGCATTTCGCTGGAAATCTTGTTAATTTGAATTACGAACTTCCTGTTTGCTGCTGGCTTATGTCTCGTGATATTTACGTGTCTACGAACAAATCTTGAGGTAGATATTGAAACTGTCTATTACTTGTATGTTTCATGGTATAATATCCCTGCCTGAATGGGATCAATTGTGTAATATAATTACCATTGGGTATAATATCCTCCTCTACTTTGACGTCACGGAATACGAGAGATTACTGTTAAAGCGTAGGCTAGAGAAAAGCTTATGTATGCGATATAAACGGGCTGACATGTACGTCTCACATAGAAGTACTAGCTTTATAATAAGTGAAGGGATTTTCACTAATAGTGGCGACAGCAATTTCCTTGTAGCTGTCTCTTCACATCCCTAATGGAAGGTCTAGCCACCTACTATTTTAAATTGTTGTTGTAGAGCAAGATTAGTTTCATCTCCTACTTCTTAAGGTGGACCACCTGCCCCCTACAAAATGCTGAAACATCTACTATATTTGTTCTGTTAGTAACATATGCACCAGAGTATTAGCCAGCCGCCAGTCCACCCACCAAACAGACTGGCAACTTTGATTTTGGACTGGCAACTTTATCCCATTTTTTTGTTTTTTCCTGTTGTTCTTTGATAATTTTATAGAAAATATATCGAAAACCATCTTCATTTTCATGAGGTTGAATTGTTTTGAACTGGCAGTTGCAAATTCCTGGCTAACAGCCTAATATACACTTACTTAAATGACAGAATTGTGTACAGTATATGGCTAAAATAACTCATATTATATACATGTAGTTGAATTTTTAAGTGTAATCAAGTATAGAGTAAATGACGTTTTTGTTTCTGCATGCTTCTATTGGAGATTTGCTTCTACATGTAAAGGAACAAATAAAAGTATTTCCTTCGGTATATATCTTAATGTATAATTTTTTTTTCATTTTATGAAAACTTTAACTTAACAAAATCACAATCCAAAACATTGACATTCAGTCAGTAATGTATCTTTAGTATTGGCCCTGAATTTGGGTTCTTGTAGAATCTCTCTCTTCTATCATGCATGCACTTCTAATACAGCATTATGTTATTTTGTCATTTCTGAGGCTAATTCATTACTACATTTACTGTATAGTTTTAGCAAGATTACTGTGTTTGAATTCTGAAAAGTCGAGCCTATTTCATTTGCGTCACTGGGTTTTTAATCCGCTGAGCAACAAATTTAAGTTGAATTTCCAAAACCTACATTGTTAGTCCCTGTTCGGACGCAGTCTGAAAATGGGGATTACCGATTGACCTGTGTGCTGCATTCATGCGTCTGTCTGACCTGTATCTTAGGACATGTGTGGACTAATTACATTCAAACTTCATACACATACATCATACATAATAGTACCGGTACATATGCACATCAATTTGTTCCACAATCTGATTTAAGATAGCTGAATGACATTTTTTTGCTGAAAAATCATTAAAATCTACAAGTATTTCTGGCATCCCGGAACTGGATCATGGCTGTTTACAGATGAATTTTGTTCAAACTTGGTTCATACATTTAAGTACCTGGGTTCTTATGCCACAATGACCAATAAACTGGACACAGGGATCCAGGTGAGGAAGGGTAGTGCATCATCAGCCTTTGCACAGCTGAGTAAAGTGTGGAGAAGTAAAACCAGCCTGAAGGCTAAACTTCTCATATACAATGCTGTGATAATCACCACACTACTGTACGGAGCAGAGACGTGGGCTACCACCCTCAGGGAAGAACACAAGCTGGATGCCTTTGACAATCGGTGCCTCAGAAGGATCCTGGGAGTACGATGGTTCCATCGAGTACGGAATTCAGCCATAAGGGAGAGAACTCAACAGCCACCAGTCTCCCTACGGTTGCGGCAAAGGCGACTCGGATGGTTCGGACATGTACCGGTATGTCATATAGGGCCAGAGAGACTACGGTACCTAGGGCCCTGATGGATTGGAATTCAGAGGATGTAGGCAGCCGGCGGAAGAGAAGAAGGCATTCGACAAGATGGAAGGAGGCAGTTGAGAGGGAAGCGAGGTCAGCTGGAGTTACTGGTGACATCTGCTCCCTTGCTGCAGACCAACAAGAATGGCGAAACATGGTTGCACTAGTGGCGATGTAACCGCCTTGGTTGCGAAAATAATTAAAAAAAAAACATACATTGAACATTCTAGGACTTTGATGCATATCATTTTGTTTCAGAATGGCTTCTGGATTCATATCTCTGTCATGTTTATGTTCACACTATA